TATATATATATATATATATATATATATATATATATATATATATATATATATATATATATATATTCAATTTTCAATAGAAAAAAATAGAAGATATCTATTATTAGCAATGTCCTATAATATATAAGTTGATGAGTTTTGATATTTGTATTTAACAAAAAAATGTTCTAAAGAGGTATATTTCTCTACTAAAATGTGTCTTGAAACTCGTCAAGAAAAAGTTATTAAAAAGAAAAGAGCTATATATATATATGCATTTTTCAGATACGAGATAGCAATATAGGAGATAATATAATACATATCATGAAAAATCATGCATTGGATTCTACAGTACACTGCCGCGTTTGCAGACTCGTTGGTAACTTATCAGAATGTAGCTGGCATGCAAAGTCATTGTATAATAATGGAGTAGTAGAACCACTTACCACATTCTTAAAATTAAAAACAACTAGGCAAACTTATTTAATGGCAATCAGAGCTATAAGGTACAACAATAATTTCCACTGATTTATATTCATTTGTCATTGTATTTAACACTCACTATCCTAATAATTGCAGAAATATTTGGAGTGTTTATAAAGGTAGTAGGGAAAAGATTATACACTTACAAGCAGTCAGACAGATTGCTCAGTTATTTGTTATGGCCAATGAGAAGACAAAAGTCAATACCAAATACACGGAGCTTGTAGACGTTTGTCTTAAAGCCATGTGTACGTTTCTTGTTACACAGGACGAAAACGCCGATCTTGTACGATCTTGCAGTGCGCAGATGGAGGCAGACAAAGATAAACAAGGTTACAAAATCCTCATAGAGTGCTGCAAAGTTGGCAACAACTTAGCTATCAAGTGCCTTTGCAGTCTCTGCTTGTTAATGAGTTGTCGGCTAGTGTTGGGTACTCTCGGTGCCGCGGAGCTGCTTATTACTCTCACCAAAAATGGCAGCACTAACGGCGAGTTATCTAGGCAGCTGCTGGTCTCTCTGTGCCTTTTCTGCCAGGAATCTGTACATCGCATGAAAATGAAGGCTGCCGGATTAGAGGTGTTCGTGATATTACTGAAACGACCTCAACTCGAGAAATATCATTTTATGCTTCTGGATGCACTTATGCAGTTCGCATACTGTGACAACAGCATTATCACATTGACGAAGCACGGCCTAGTGGAGGTCTTGATGACAAAATTGATGGACTCGATCGCTGATACAGCGGTCCTGGACGAAACAAGCGAATTGAGACCTGTTAATAATATTAACGCGTCAAATAAACGCTGCTATGGTTCCACACCTTGTCGGAAGTACAGTCGGATCAGTGAAGGGAGGTAAATATATGTAGAATAATACGTATACACATTACGATACGAATGTGCTCAGTTTGATGAATCTACGAAAACTTTGGCTTTGCGAATTCATTAAATTACTTCAGCGAAAATAAAATATTCGATCGTGTAATTAATTGGATTAAATTGTATTATATTTTATTACAGTGGATTAAATTATATTACCCTGTGTTAGATTGTATTACGTTGGACTCCATTGCATCATATGCATTATATTATCTTGCAGATATAACAGATACTGTACTTTACACCGTTATATCTTACAGATATAACAGATACTATACTTTACACCGTTTTGATGGTGACTCAAGCCCGGGAAGTTCCACTAGCGTTTCCTCGTCGCCACCTAGCACACCACCGTTATTGTATTACGATTCCATGATGGAGACCGATATAGATGATGATAATTACAGCCCGGTTTACAGCGACACGGAATGGGGCGATGATGAAGGTAAGATACTTTTATCTACACAAGCAGCAAAACTTCTTAGATTTATAAGAAATACAAGAAAAGTTTAAGAGAGAACAATTCAAAATGAATGACAATTAAAAATTAATATTTGTTCTCTCGAATATTTATGATTGTATATCTCTGTGTATAAAACAATATTATATTGATTTAAAATAAGTGTTGATATAAGAATTAAATATTTTTCAAATGTAAATATACCGACTAATAAAATATGTATTCTATAGGAAAAAAAGCTCTGAAATGAGCCAAATATTTTTCATAACATAATATTTTTAAAATATATGTATATTTTTTAAGATGTCTTTGTGATTTATGTTATAATTTTGCGCAATTGTTGCAGAACCACAGGATGAAGAAGCCGATTCCTTGAAGAGCTGCAAATCGCTGATTATCAACGCGGACAACTCTCGCGACTCTGAGAAGACCAGTACAGGAATTTTTTGCGTTTCCATAGTGTTGATGTTGTTACATAGAGTGAGCTTGCTTCCTCTACCCATCGATAGGCTGGCCGATCCCATGACCATCAAGTCCCTGTTGATTTACATAAATCGTACAAAACACGAGAAGGCCATCACTATACTAAACAGAATCGTACGGTAAGAACCAAATATCTGCCGTAAGTTCTCTCGTTGTCGCGTGTTTTGTATGTATGTCTCTAACGACGTTCGTTTTCCCCTTTTTTCATAGAAACCCAGCGTACTTTATGCCGCTACTGAAGCAGGGTTTCGTGTTTGACGCACAAGGTATGCCGGAACGAGAAGAATATCTGCACCACCTGCGTGAAGTGGCGGAGACCGGTGGTGCCATCGGCCAATTATCGTCGATGTTACTGCGTGGCGAGGAACAGCATAAGCTGATCTTCGCAGTGTCGATACCATTTCTTATCGTACAGTCGCGCGTTACTCTCAGATCTCTGTTGCACAATCACGGTGGATTGCAGATGATACTGCGTTTGCTGAGCGATCCGACGCACGAGCTGCATGAGCGAGCGATTTGGTCGATCTGTCGCCTGGCGGTATCGCTACAGATCCAACCGGAAACTGTGGATAAGTGTTCCATGTCTGCGAGCGACAGCCTGTCGTTTCGTACTTGTATTCGCGATAATCACAATCCTCTGCCATTGTCGATCGTGACGTTCGAGCTGGACGACGGTACGACCGTGGACGCCTGCAGAAGTATTCTCTGCCAACGTTCCGATGCTTTCTCCGCGATGTTAGAAGGTAACTTCAGTGAATCTGGTAAGCGACGAGTGCGGCTGAGGAACGCTTCTCGCGATGGACTGAACACACTGATACTGGCGGCGAGCGGATCCGCCTATAAACACCGCAGCATCGAGTCGTTGTTGGATGCGGTGTTGTTGGCCGACAAGTTTCTCATGCCGGATCTATCGGATGCGCTCACCGACAGTTCGGTCGCTAAGCTCAGCTACGAGAACTTCAGCCGCGCCTGGTGGTGGGCCAAGACAAATGCCTGCCATGAGCTCCGATCCTGCTGTGTGAAAACTTTCCTCACTGCGAACATGACGAACAGTCAGACCGTGCAAGCGTTCCGCGACTTCTTCGCAACCGCCGCCTTTGAGGACTTTCTATGCGACATACGGGAGATCATTATGGATGTATTGTGCCAACCTTAGACTACAATCCGAGATGTACACTGGTTGTCAAAACAGTTTAAACATTTTTTTTATGCAGTTTAAAACATAAATGATCCAATGAAGAAATATAACTTTTGGGAATTAAAAACGAGACTTCTCTTATTAGATCAGGGCTCGGAACGGTTTGCCAATTCTCAGGAGCTACGCCTTCTATCTTCCCTTTGCCGCGAGCGGGCCACAAAAGTGACAGTCAAGCTTCCAAGCTTGAAGCCGCGACTGGCCGCGACTGTCACTTTTGTAGCCCGCCGCGCGGCAAGGGGGCGATAGGAGGCGTAGCTCCCGAGAATCGACCGAAATTAGCAAACCGTTCTGAGCTCTGTATTAGATCATCGGCTATGTTTTAAAATGCATTGAGAATACAAATTTTCAAACTGTTTTCAAAGTATATATGCTATCATGCGACTGATGCTCGATTCGACGGTCACTTAATTTGAAGATTACTTGCGATAAAGAAATTTTTTCTACAAGTATAAATATATATATGAATATATATATGAATATATATTTATATATAAATTTATATATAAATTTATATATATATAAGTTATTTATATATAAATATATGTATTTTTTTCGTAGTATTATACGAAATTATTGGGTGTGTTCAAATAACACAACATTTGTGCAATCAATGCCTCTGATTATGAAATATACTTTCAGATTCATGGTCAGATGAATGGTCAGATGGTCTTTCAGATCTAGAAGAATATTCCAGTGATAGTGAGTTGTCATTTAACTGTTTACTCAACCGTTATGTTTTCTAAATGCAGTCATAGAAATCAAAATCGTTATTACAAGGGTCGTCCCTCAAGCGAATTATTTTAACTTTTATTGTGACATTTATTTTTCTCTGAGAGAAACTTCAAGAAATTGTACATTGAATCATTTAATGTTTATTTAAAGCTTTTGCTAATATATATTTATTTATGTGTAGATGAGAGATATTAGATATATCTCACATAAGGTACGTATAAAAAAGAGAAAAGAAAGAAATATATGTAATCTTAAGATGTAACATCAAGTTAAAACTAAGTTTAATGAAATTAAAGATTATTAACTCAATTATGGTCTAAGGCTGTGTTCCGATATTCATTACTAGTACTGAAAATGTATAGTTTATGTCACATATATTGTAGATTTTCAGTACTGGCAGTGAATTTCGGAACACAGCATAGATCGATCCGAACGCTCGAAGCGGTTTCTAGGATGAAAAAAGAAAACTAGTATGTTGTTACAGCTTATAGTCAATTTGTTTTTATCTATTGTAGCAAACTTCTTGTTATCTGCGAAATTGTGTAAATTGCAAAACTATTATAAGTATTCTCAATAATATTGTACCTATTAATGTTGTATATACTCCATAAATTGTACTAAACACATCAGCGAGAGATGTATTCATGATGGCTAGTTTATAATGTCTGCATATGTGCTCGAAGCATTTGTATATACACTGACGAAATAAAAATAATAGGATTTTTAAATCTTAACCCATAGCTACTGTACAGTGGGGTTTCATTGCACCCCATACACACACACACACATACACAATTACACATACACACACGAGTTTTATAAAATTTTATACAGTTACAGGGGGCATCCATTGAAAAAAAATGCCATAGGAAGTCATTAATTGGAATTATGTCTATAATAATTAATATTGATATACCATATCAAATCAATGCTCCCTTATTAGATTAACATATTTTCGATATTGATATTATCTACATTTAAAAAAGAATTAAACAAACATATCTAAAAATTACATTTATTCATTATAACACTAGACTCGTCCTCATATACAAAATTATCACACACAAACAAACCGCGTCAGATCAAGAAATTTACTTTGACGCGAATTAAAACGCCAAGTGCGCGTTATATTTCTCATTCTAGTATTGTCGACATGCAGAGGAAATCGCGGTAATTAAACATTAGCTAATATGTGTGAATCGCTTTTACAATCGAAATTCGCTTGATATCCTAATATATTAAATAAATAGTTAAAAACATTTTAAAAAATCAGCATTAATATCGATACATCGGGTCAGAATAAGGTTTTCTCGAATTGTCATGGTTGTACTGATATAACATTGATTTAGTTTCAAATATTACATTCTTCATACTATGTAAAATGTAACGTTTAAAAGACTCGTTAGATTTTATGTTAAAAAAAAATAATATCAAAGATTAATATGTTAAAAAATCTACGAAAGTAATATCTTCTATTAACAAGAATCGTATAATGACGAGTAAAGATTTAACAAGAGAAATATGCATTCGTTTCTGCGCTCACTATACATACATATAGTGTTCATATGTCCGTTAAATAAAAAAGTGCATAAAGCTTAAATATAATAAAATATTATATACACAAAATTTTGTAATGTGTATATAATATGTTTTGCATATGTATGTATATCTAACAAGTAGTAAATAAAATAACAACGTTAAGCTTGATTTGATTCGCGTCGCATTGTCAACAATAATCGGATCGTTATGTGGTTCGTCCATTAAACCTCCTCAGCTTCTAATTATTGGAGATCAATTATTCATACTTTCCTCTCTGTCAGTTTCAGTTGAATGGGCTCCGACGGCACGGTAATCAAGTTCAAGATCATTTGTACGCGATCACGATTCTCGCAGTCCAGCTTGAAGTTTTTAATCAGCTGCAGCAGAGAAAACGATATGTATTAGATACAATATATTAAATTTATAATAACAGATTAGAATGTACATGATATTAAACTAATTTTACGATTTGACACAGACTCAAATTATGACAAGCGATAATTTACCTGTGCCAAAGTAAGATATATTTGCGTTTCTGCGATTTTGCGGCCGATGCAGCTCCTGGCGCCCAATGCAAATGGCAATGTGCCGTATGGATGACTCACGCCCTGGTAATTACCCGATTCTATTCTAACCCATCTGTCTGGCTGGAACTCCTCTGGCTGCGGAAAATACTTCGCACTGTGACCGCTCGACCAGATCGACAGGATGAGTAACTCCTGAATCGAAAAAAAAAAAGAAAGCTATCACCATATTAAATCTCGATATACTATGCCTCGATATACAAAACCTCTACGCGATCGGAGCTGCGATTAAGCTTGTCGCTATAGTTTATTAATTTAAATCTTTCCCTAATTTTATAATACATATGAAATATTTTTTGTTGAATAAGAAAATTGCTATTTATAACTCACATACACTTCGCTTATTTTACAGATTATACTTGTGGTTGCGTTGCATAGAGTCCGTTTACCTCTTTCGTTACAAAATAATCGCCGATCCAACTGTCGGCCGTCAAATATCTTGTGAGAAACGGTGCAACGGGATACAACCTTAGCGTTTCTTTCAATACGTTCTTCAACAGAGAATGCTGCGTGATCTCCTCCGGTGACAAGTTCTTGATACCGTTGAACAACTGGTCTTGCAGTGTAGGATAACCGCTGAGCAACAATAACGCCCATTGCATGGTAGTCGCCGACTAAATTGCATAGGAACATAAAAATGGTAACTTTCATATAAAGAATATCATTCACTTTTAATCATTAATTAATCATTAATTAATTGTAATAGTGAAAGTTTCTCTATAAATAGTTCCGAATAAATTTTGTCTCAGCTTCTTTTAAACTGATTTAACATGCATATGAATATTAAATTATCTGTTTTAAGCAATTGTACTTTTTATCAGTTACTATTTATATACTCTAATCAATTATTTTTTTCAGAAATTCTCTTCTGAGAATCTTTAATTATATATATTAAATATTGTGTGCATTAAAGAATTATAATACAAATGACATTGTATATAATAATAAAAGCACGAAAGTATATATACGATCGTAAAACAGAATTAATGAAGCGCACCGTGTCGCCAGCGGCTACGATGAAATCAGTGATGATTCTGACGGCATCGTGACCGTGGATGCCGTTGTTCACCATCATCGATAGTAAACCATCGCCGCCTAACTGAATCAATTCCGGTACCATGATGCGTACTGTGTCTAGAATCGTGTCAGCGGTCGCAACAAATTTCATCCACCTAGGTAATTTCAGCCGCATTGCCAACTTAGCTGACATCATCGATAACATGACAGATTGCTCAAAAACCTGATGTAGCATCAACGCCAAGTGCTCGTACCTGGAAGCCATCTGTTGTTTACAATCTGGCCATCGCGAGCCCATGAGGATTGCCAGCATCACTGAAAGAAAGAAAGAACAAATAAAGATCTTGACACTACTGGGACATTTAAGTATAAGATGAAGATATACCTTCCATAGACCACTGATAAAGCTGACTATTCAGATTCTTGATCGTTGCACCATCACGACTCTCGACCTTCCACTTCTCCGTGAGTGTCTCGGCGACCACCTGACAGGGCGCGCACATCAGCTCCGTCGAATTGGGCATCAGCATCAGCTTGTTAAGAATCCTGCGGTAGTGTAGCCATTCCTCTCCATCCCTATTTCCCGAGCACAACACATTTATGGAAGCGTAATATTTCTATTTTGTATAAAAAAATTATCTAAAGATTATATATTAAAGATAATATGTATTGTCTCTTTATATATGAAGTTATTCCGGGGAAGAAACTTACATGAAGAGCAGTCCTCGACGTTGCTGCCGGATCTTGTTATATAGCAGCCAGGACTCCGGCAGGAAGTGACGGGGCATGGTACCCTCCAGTCGAAAGATTCGCCGGAACTCGTTAGGTGAGTTGACGAAGACTGCGCGCACCGGCCCGATTTGCTCGCGGTAGATCGGGCCTAGTTGTCGGTGCCGTTTGTCCACATACTCGTGCAGCCTCTTCCCGCCGCCGGCCATGAGCAATGACAACGTCGTGCCGATGAATGGAAGTCCTCGCGGCTCCGGTGGTTCTCTCCTCGTTGCGTGAGCTAGGTTGGTCGTGTACATTCGTAATGATAAAGTATCATCTTCTTTTCTAGTGTCTCTCCTCGTTGTTGGATAGGCAATGTCCTTGCTGCTCAACGTGGTGAACGTAGAATATCCCGACAGGAAGCGACGCGATGTTTCCTGAAGCGAGATATCGAAGTTGCATAAACGCCGTAAGCTTCTCTGTACTATCCTGGATACCACGTGCATCTTGGTGCGACGATAACGAGTTTATGAAGAGGTACGAGGAGGTTCCGGCGGCGGCTGCAACGAGCCTCACTATCGGGGAAGAAAATTATATCGGTCGTTTAAGAACTTGCTAAGAATTAAATTTAAGCAAATTAAAGGCCGATGTGGGCCAAACGCACGCAAGCGTTTCTTCTTCTCTCTGTTCTTCCTCTTTATGCTTACACATATTAGTCAGGTTGCAAATAATCTCGACATAGACCGAAATAATTATTGTTCACACGAATCGCGATCAGGAAAAGTACCAAGAGATTGTCCTAAATTAATTGCATCATCATCAAGCGTTCGTTCGGCTCGCACTGACCTTCAGTCTGATTTAAACACGATCCTTTGATCGTAAGCTAGTTTGTTCCCTCCATTTTACAACACTATATAAAACTATTCTTGAAAAATAATTATGTCGACTCTAATAATTATTCACAAGTGAACATAATTATTAATTATATAATAATAATATCAATTGTATAAACCACATTTCTCTCTAGTTACCTTAATTAACGTTTGCCTTGGTATCCAAAACGGCACTGAGGCCATTGCCTATTACATATTCGGAATGTAAACACAAATATCGTCGTCGTGCACTCTTATCGAGTCTTTTATTTTGAAATCGAAACTGTCGGTTACACTTCGTTTTAGTTTTGCTTGTGCATGCCGCTAATGCCATGTCGTTCATTCGCTCAATGTACTTTTTCGCTTTGATGTGTCTTGCACTTATTGTCTTAACATTGCGTCGCGCTTTGCGGGACTTCTCTTTTCCTGAAGCACCTAATAAATAACGCTTATCTATCCCATACAGATCGCAATCGCAACGAGAACTCGCTTTTTTATTTATCTTAAGGCAACTCTTTTATCTTGTTGTTAATTACCAATGAGTAATTAACAATGTACATGATATGATGGTTTATACAATTTATCGACTCCTCCTCCTGCAACGACATTTTCGCACGTTTTCTTTTTTCGCGTGGGAAAGTGAATTCCTTTTCTTCACTTAAGAGTCTATGTCGCTTTATCTCATGCGCTTCGTAGCGCTGCACTTGGCCGCACGGCCGAGCTGTTTTTATGCTTGTGCATCGAACGTCGTCCCGCTATACTAACTCAACACATGCATTCTTTCGTGCGTTGTGCGAGCGCGGATTCGTCGACAGATAGTAAGCATAATTAAGAAGAAAACAGAATAATACGGTAACGTGCACTTAAGCGCGACAAATTGTAAAGAACTTTATCTTTCGCTGACGATGAGACGAACGCGTAACGTTTCTCGTCGGTGAACACGAAACCCGTTCACAGTCAATGGAACGATACATGCTGCGAGGCGAATGTGCTGATCTGACTGCAATCGCAGAAACCGATGCACTTTCTAACGAGTGAGCGACTGCGTCGATTGACCGGACCGAAATCGCAATCTCGAAAGTGCTACGTTAACGATAAGACGCTATCCTTTAGTTCAGTGTCTCTCAAACGTGTGTGTTATTTTAATTTACATGAATTTCGGTTCTATGAAATCTTTATTTACGATCTTGATTCATCGATTTGATTAATCCGAAATTGATTTTTTTTCTCGTTCATTAAAACCGAAATTAATTTAACTTTTAGATTGATTTCAACATTCAGATTATGTGATTGCAAAGGATAACGTTGAAATTCTTTCGAAAACGGATGTACGTGCTGAAAATGTTAATTTAATCAACGTTAAAGAGTATTTCATCGAGGCAAAATTAATTTCATGTACATTATATTGTTCTTTCTCTCTTGATCCTTTCTGTTTTCACTTATTAAAATAAGAAAGAAATATAAAATTAGAATAAAACTATATTGTGCGTGCGTGTGTGAGAATATTTTTCAGCGCAACAATTTGAATACAACTTTTGGAAATTGTATGAATTTATTATTGAAGAAATTGCAGAAACACTATGGGACATTCGCGTACGAATGATCCCGACACTTTCTGGACCCATGCCGGGTGTGCCGTAGCACGAACACTGTGAATCTGACAGACCCGCTCGCCGATCTGCCGGAGCCGCGAATCGTCGAGCTGGTCCGAACTCACCCGGCGAGCATCCCGAACTTTACTGCTTCACACTCCCAGCTTCCTGGTGGCCTGTGAGCCGCGCGAAACAGGAAAGTGTGACCGGAAGGAAACGAAGCGGGGCGGAGCGCAACGCAGCGCAGCGCAACGTAGCGCGGTGCAGCGCAGCGCAGCCGATGATCGCGATGACCTTTTCTGCAAGCCGCAAGAGGATTCGTGAGTTCGTAGCCAGCAGGAGATCGAATACCGTTCTCCAGCCATGCCGTTACCTAGAACGGCTGTTCGGTCAAAAGTATGATTGAACCCTTTACGCAAATGGGTTATCGCTAACATCATATAAGCCATAACGAGATCTGTTCATCCAGACAGCATATTCTATGAATATTCTATTTATTGGTAATCCAGAAATGCTTGAATATCCTGAAAAACCGCTTTGTAAGCACTAGACTGCACAAACAACATAAAAGGTGTCCTAAAATTTCCGGCTCCTCACCGTGAACTCTTAATTGATGTCTTCAGAAACGAGAAAATACTAAACATACTAAAAATTCTAGCAAAATATGTTGAAATAAGAAGATATATCCATAAAATGACACTTGTTATTGTATAATCTGTGATCTGTGTTCTCCTTTTTAATTCACTATCTTTCAGAATTTTGTCACGTTAATTTTACAGCTATTATGTTTATTGATTAGAATATAAAAGAGAATAAAATACATGAACTATTTTACAGGTTTGCTCGACCGATTGCAAGTATCCTTTTGTAAACGTATCGTTTTATTTCAACGTATTTTGCAAGAATATTTAACGTGTACTTTTTCGTTTCTGACATAAATCAAAATGATCGCGGCAAAGGATCAGAAACCTTAAAGACAGCTATCCTATTTCTTCTAGATATCTTTTGATTGTTTTTAAAACATCTTTTAGTAATTTATACTGTCTGAGAGAATCTGCAGTATATTTGACGCTATAAATTTTCACAAAATATGTGTGCAGGTCTGAACAATAAGATTTCCAGAACTTGTAAACTAACGAGATACTACACAACATAAAAAGTCTGCTTAATCGAGAAACATGTTCTTCTATACTTCGTACTTTTCGAATTTTTCTTCAACCATGTTAAATCGTTGGACTTGATAGTGTTGCTTGCTTAGAATGCAGGATGGTAGACCATAGGAGGCAAGATTCCGGATAACGAAGGAGACAGGGAGCGATCCTTTTCGAGAAATCTTGAAGTAGTATCCGATATGTAGGCGCGACTACCTATAAATAATGCAGAGAAATAATCTGACTATCAAAATAGCCGAAACGATCCGTCCAAAACAAAGAGAAAACGTGCGATTATATATCGAGATACGCGGAATTTATTCTAAACGAATCGACGCTTAATGCTTCACCTTTTTTTTCTATTCAGGTTCAGTGGCGTTGCTTTCGCATTATTTTGTCGTTTTCATTTTATATTCTATACCATAAATCGATGTATTACTAAGGAAATAACAACCAAGACAATATAAATATGGAAATTCCCAGAAGCTAATAAAAACTACATTAAGCAATAAAAAGAGACTATATGAAAATGTCATTGGGTTTGGAAAAGGACGCATAGAATATGCATATCAAGGTTAAGATCATGTCGATGTATAATTAGAGGTTGAAAAAGAAAAAGCGCAGACAAAAGCGTAAACAAACATGAAAGAAGAGAATAAATAATACATAAAAAGAATATTTTTACCTGTTCTTCTTATTCTTATGTCCTCGCAATTTTCTGTTCGCAATTGAATTGTGAGGTATCGATGTGTCCATTTCGATAACCGCTCGAGAATCGATCGAGTGTCGATATTGTCGAACAAAGCGCGAAGTGAAAACATCGTAAAACGTTAAAACATTCTGTTCTTTTATTAAAACTTCCCATGTACAAAATAAAATAAACGTATATAAAGAAATAGCCACAAAAGGTAATAAATATAGCACACATATAAAAAAACAGAGTACATACTGGATAGTATGTTCGTATTGCCCATATTATATATATTTGCACTTTCTGTACTCTATTATATCTCCTCTTTTTCTTTCACGCTCGAATAAACTGTTTCGTTTTAAATGCCAAAAGTGCGGTTAATGCACGTTTCTATCAGCGTTGATTAAACTTTAATCAGAGTTTAAAGTCTTTGTTTGACTAGAGTTTAAACTAAGATTAAGGTTCAATCGATGTTGACAGAAATGTGCGTAATACATTCAAAAATTCAATACTTAACTTACGTGTTGATATGAACAATGTACTTTTATTCTTGTTCATTTCTTATCGGCCTCATCATCGTTTGTTATCGGGTGCATTGAATGCCCTTTGCTCTTTGTACCCATCTCTCTCTTCTCTCTCTCTCTCTCGCTCCTCCTTGCGACATTTTTACAACTCGTTACCGTCTGAAGACGTGTATTCGACGTGCGTCGTGTCGCAGTTGTATCACACTGCATTCTACCGCACACGCCGTTTCTATCTACACTCTTTCGCACTCTCTCGCACCTTCCTCTGCTTCTGTTGCTAGCTTTATTACATTTCAACTCGAGTGCGGAAAGTACATTCGAGTGCAACTGAAAGAAATCAAGAGACGATCCGTCGAGACAGACACAGACGTGTTCTCCGATTGAGCCCCATTGGACGCTTGTTGCCGTCGTGATGGACATCGATGCCGGGTCCTGCATCCAGGACTGGGACGATCTAACACAAGAATACAAGAACCTCGAGGTGAGAAAGATGTGTCACGTCGGAGCCTGACGAACGAGTCCGCCGGGTTTCACGACGAGGTTAAGTTCTTGACGTTTTCGTGAATGCGGTTGACCGGAGAAATGCTCTATTTCGGTTGATCGGCTGTTTCGCGCGTCACGTGACATTGTCAACGACCTTGACGATTGTCCTGTTTTACGATAAATCTATCACATGCAAGAAAGAATGCTTAGCAAATTCGAATTTTTTATCTACAATTAATATCAAACAGTGATGCTGCACAATTTTAATAGTTTGCAAACACAACTGTCGGTTGTGAGCGATTACTTTAATCAATTATATCAAGTAGAAATGATATAATTAGTTTATTATATAATAATATATATGTATAAAAGTATAATAAAAAAAATTACTGATAAAGCATTATTGATCTAAATTGACATTTTTACAAATTACATTTGCAATTTAGTCATTAATCAGTAACTAAACAAGGTTGTTACGTTTGCATCCTCATACTAATTGTATCCTTTCCTTTGTATTGTACTAATTGTATCCTTTCCCACATTTACAGGCACTAAACAGGGAGTATCTTGCAAAATTAGAGGAGGTTGGTGAACTGCAAGCAAAATGTGTAAAAGAGATTTCTCATCAAAGGTATCGGATGAATGCTATATCTAAATCCATGAAACAGTAAGTTGATAATATTAAAGAAATCTTTTAACAAAATAATGACTGTATTTCATCTTTGCCTAACAAATATTTAAGAAAATTATATAAATTTCTGTAATAAAAAGTTTATAATAATGTATATCACTTTTATCCATTTCTCAGTTTGAATATAAAGGGGGCACAAGAGAAATTACAGAAATCTATGATAAGAAGAGAACAACAACTTCATGAAATAGAGCAAACTTTGCCAAAATCAAATGGCACATACCTCCAAATTATTCTGGGCAATGTCAATGTATCTATATTAAACAAAAGTGATAAGTATGTTATTGTTAATAGTAATACAGCTAATACATATTATATTTTAATTGATATCATGATAATTGCTTGCTTTCAGATTCAAATACAAAGATGAATATGAGAAATTTAAATTAGTCTTATCAGTAATTGGATTTGTTTTGTCTGTGTTAAATCTGTTTATCAATATAAGGTGAGATGTCATTAATATATCAATATATTTTAATATTGCATTACTTTCTGCCCAGGAAAATATAATATTTTTGCTTATATTTCTCAGGACTCTAGAACTTAGTTTTATGTTCCTCCTGGTCTGGTATTATTGCACATTAACAATAAGGGAAAGCATACTTAAAGTGAATGGTTCAAGAATTAAAGGCTGGTGGAGATTTCATCACTTCCTCTCAACTGTAGTATCTGGTGTTTTACTAGTATGGCCAAACACAGGAGCGTGGTACCAATTCCGTGGCCAGTTCATGTGGTTTAACGTATATATCAGTAAGTGCTGTATAATTTGTAATATTAATGTAAAGTTAGTATAATAGTAATATCAAGATTATTTTTGGTATATATCTTTCCATATGTCACAAATTACTAAATCAGGAGAAAAATGAAATAATTTAAATATAACTTTAAATAATATATAATTAATAACTTAATTTTTTTAACATCTGTATCATTCAGGCGTAGTTCAATACTTACAATTTCGATACCAACGTGGCGTCCTGTATCGATTAAAAGCATTGGGTGAGAGGGACAACATGGACATCACCATCGAAGGATTCCATTCGTGGATGTGGCGTGGTCTTTCGTTCTTGCTACCATTCCTTTTTCTAGGCTACCTTTTTCAGCTATATAATGCATACACATTATATAAGCTGACGTTCCATCCAGAAGCGACATGGCACGTGCCGGTGCTTAGCGCAATGTTCCTAGTACTGTTCCTGGGCAATATAACAACTACCATTATGGTGATTCCTCAAAAACGTCGGGAACATGTGAAAGACCATCTGTTCGCGTCTACGGAGGAAAACGCACACGATAAAGAGAACAAGAGTGCGAAGAACGAGTAAAAAAAGAAAAAAAAGACACGATACTTCCGGCTAATCGGTTGGTTGGAGCCACAACTAGGTTATTGAAGCCGGATTACAACGAGGAACTAAACAGATGAGACTATTTTGTTGTATATGGTGCTGGTGTCAGTTTTTTCTAACGTAACAACGGTACTTATCTTTTTTTCTTTCTTTCCGCTGCGTTGTCGTTGCGCTCGAATCGTATGCATGAAGAAAAAACGAATAAACAGGCAAGTTAATCGAAAGCATGACACGTTTATAAATGACTTCGAATGCGCAACGTGAAGCGTTTTCGATTATGCTCTTGAACAAAGTTTGCCATCGAGTATTCTCTCGTGAATACTCTTTCTACAGGCTGTCCTGAAATAAACGAACTCAATCTCGACGATATATTTTGCAATAAGTTTTGAGTCGATTCTTTTTGAGAGAAAGTGAATAAGATTTTCCTGCTGTCTTCCTATTTTTAATTCCGTAAGATACGTGTAGGTTTGAAGATTCCGTGTTAAGTCGAAATCTGCTAATAGTACACTAAAAGATGTTACTTCATTCCTTTATCTTTTTTACGTTACATTCTATTATACAAAATTTTCATTTTCAATCGCTAAATTATCCAAAGACGACGCAGTATTTTGTCACATGACTAACTTTTAGCAAATTTATAACAAATTTTATGCCGGATTTAAATATGTAATCAGATTTTTATATCACCAAAGATTTTAATTTGATTTTTCCATCACACGAGATTTTAAAATTATTAAAATATTTTAGTTCAAAGGGATATATAATTTCTCGCAAGTTATATATTTCCATAAAAACTAGAGTGAGAAAAAAATTCCGAGTATATATATGAATTTAGCACTAAAAATCTGCATGAAGAATATTTCGAGTAATCTATGTGACAAAATGACTGTCGAATAGTGTTGTTCAACGTCTAAGTGTGAAAGAAGATGAATTCTAAAACGGTCATAGGATCGTCGCAGTTCGGCCTGATTATTCCGGGACATCCTGCATACGATTTTCATTCAGATTACATCGAACACACGCATTTATTTTCAATCGCATTAACATTGAACTGTCATGCTATATCATGATAGTGATCGCGTATCGGCGTCATATTGGATGAGAGATCGATGTCGATTAATTTATTCGCGGAAACGTATATGTATATATACAAGATATATACGCGAATAATGTGACCTGGGATAATAAAGAAAAGGATGAAAAATATAAATTATTTGATCATCTTTGTTTAGATCAGCCTGTGCACATACATTTGCATATATGTACGCACACGCACATGTTTGTAAATTACATAGCTCCTCTATAAGTATACATATATATCAAATACAAGAGGCGAGAGTCGGTAGAAACGAAACGCTGAGATGTTTCTCTTGGATTTGGGAACATGGTAAAATACATAGAAATATAGAAGAAACACGCGAAATCGTTTTCAAGATAAAAACGACTCGCCAACTTTGAAAGAAATAACTCGATGCAAAAGAAAATCCTGTTCATTGTCTTTCAAGGTATTGTGTTCTACGTATTTTTCGTATCTTCCAGCCAAAGACAGACGCTCCAGCGTTTTGTTTTCATTGACTCACCCGGTCGAAGTGTACAATCGATATCGCGTCGATTTTTTTGTACGTTCGTGCGCAATTCTCAAATATTTGTTCGATGATCAGAATGATAATTTCTTATTGCGCAAAAACTTAGGTGATACAACTCATGTACCATATGATTATTATTGCGCTGTCGATGTATTTATTAAGACGAATGTGTAAATAAAAACCGAGCCGCCTAATGCTACAATATACGAAGGAACGGAATTCGTCGGTAGTTAATCGCTACGCATCGACTTGCTAATTTCCCTTTTCTTTATGTTTCTCTTCCTCTGTTCTTTTTTCTTACACTTCCACTCGCGCATCACAAGTAGACGCAAAAACGCGCTTCTCGTCGATGTACACTTGATAGCGATCAAGTATACATTTTACTGTATGCTCAATTTGTAACACAATGGTGATAGTAAAACATATATATATACATATATACACTACGTCTGATACGAATTGTTTTAAACCTTCCGTGTTGTCTTCAAATATTCGATTCTCTCGCGAAGCATTTTATTCCTTCGTTCTTCCTTCGATCTATTCCTCTGTCGAATAGTTTGCGACGAAGATACAATCGTTTTATAAACAGCGTAATTGCGAAAAATTTTTTCAGTTTTTATTAAAATCTCAAAATTTATAAATACGCTTATATAATGCGTACTATACTAATATTAACTGACTAATCTGTCAGCAACTAAAGAACGAAATTTATTATCTAGCTCAAAGAAATTTGAAATTTCAAAATGTTAAATCCTAACTTAGAGCTCCTTCTATGAGATACTGAATGATGTAACTTTGAGGACGATTTCTTCTTTAATTCTCGCAGTCGACTATATTAATATCTTTAATTTGTTACTAGAATAATCATTTATTGTGCCTATGAATTGAAATGAAAGGAATTCGATTCTCTAGATCAGTTTGTCAGATTCAAACAAAATTTACACACCGGAGCAAAGGAAGGATCTTATGGCAGTAGTTACGTTACTGTTATGCAAGTCTGCGTCAGTTATCAATGCAATGTGCAGTGTCATAAACCGCTTGCCTTGCAGACGAATAGCCAGTACGTTCATCGACGTTCTGCGCGGACGTGCACTCTAAACGAATTATACCTCACGTTCCGTTCCAGACAGTGTTCGCACAGGGGTATGTGTAGCCGATATACACATTTTTTATCTTTTACCGTTATCTTATTGGTATTTCAAGTTACTTATCAGAAAATTAACATTTATTCGCATAATTAAATTTTTGTTAACTTGTCGCGATTTTTTGCGCAGTGATTTGAATTTTTGATAAATTATGTGACATTGACGCGCGTCAACAACGCAGGGTTTGTTCTATTGCAGTCGGACGAGATGCCGGTAAGGATTAATTGGCCCGCGGTGGTGGCGACGGTCATCCCCAATGCTGGTGCCTTCGTCGTCAGCTATTTCGTAAGGAAAAACATGCACTGGTACGAGGTGAGAATTCCCGAACGGAGGTAATCGAATGCGTCGTGCACGTGCCAGCTCACGTTGTAGTAATTACATCGTAAATTGGGACGCTAAACTATGTTTAGCTCACTGTCTCTATGTTATCGAGGCAATGCATTACTTTGTAAACGCATTTTCTTATCAATTTTCAATGCCAGACTCGTATGAACGATTTGCCGACTCTTCGCGTGAAAGTCATGCGCAATTACGGACGAATCGATACGCGAGACTTGATATAGCACAGCGCTGTGCAATTATTTGCGATCTACTATCCTTTCCCTCCTTTATCTTCAGGAAATGCGAGGAAATCCTTTATCTTGAGGAGTTTCAAGAAATTAGTTAGCACTTTTCTGTATTCCGTACCGTGACAACGACATAGCTGTGTACCTTTTATACCGATCTATATATAGATCTCTTATACTCACGAATTTATTCCCGGGAAACCTCCTGTTGTATACGAATGATATTTTACGATATTACAAAACATCAACAAACATTGTTAACAGAATACGGAATGTCGCTATATAGGAAATAGTATTTATTTTTAACTCTTAGTATACCCTCCATCATGGTCCATTGAATTAAATTTTAATCCGAATTTTCTTTCGCATGTGAACAGTTCTTGACTTTGTCTTTTATTTTTCTTAACTCTAAAGAACAAGGAGAAAATACGTTTGTCTTTTCTCTTTTCCTAAGCCCTTGTTCACAACCTTGCTTTAAGGCGTAAGAAATTGACCAACTACAGTCGATTATTCTTCTAAAAATTGACCATGGTTAGTCAATTTTTTAGGGCTTACGTCTTAAAGCAAGACTGTGGATAAGGGCTTATAGGATAAATTATTCCTTTAATTTAATCATCATGCTATTTAATTATCGAAATTGGTAGGTTCTCGTGACGATAATGATTACGCAGTATTATCGTTATTTATAATTATTAATCATTGCTTATAACTGTATAATATTACTTATAATCGTTTACACAATTGCACATTATATTTATAATTATATTTATAAATGTAACTGTGTATATATTATTCGTCATCTCGTAATATTAATAGCTTATAGTTACGCGTTATTTATAACTATAATTACACTCGTTCGTAATACATGATATTCACACGCGAGTGTACAGAAAGTATACGAAACAGACCTGCCTAAAAGATATCGAGCAAGTTACCAAAATGTTCAAGAAGAGATTCGCATATTATATGCTGGACATACACGTCGTCTGTAAAGTGATACATGTCACGGCTGATACGTCACCTTGGATTTGTATTTCGCTGGTATGAAGATCCGCACAAGTCGCGAGAGTCAACTAAATTCTATTTGCCTGCTCACCTGCCTACTCACTTTGTTTATCTACTTTCAGCTTCCTACCTGAAATGCCCAAGTTTACAATAAATTACACATCTTATTTCACTAATGATATAACAATACAGTTGCTTTGTACGTATATAATCCGTCGTCGTGCGTCGCACTCTCTTGACTCGTCGCTCGCATTTTCCAGTCCTTAAAGAAGCCGTCCTGGATGCCGCCGGCCTGGTCGTTCGGGCCTGTATGGACTGGCCTCTATAGTACATTAGGCTATTCGTCGTACATTGTGTGGAGAGATGGGGGTGGTTTTGAAGGAGCACATCTTCCACTTACTACCTACGTCTTCAATATCATCCTCAACTGGTCGTGGGTGCCGTTGTTCTTTGGCACTCGCCGCATAAAATGGGTAATTACATCTTACGTACACGCCAATATGTGTCTTAATCTTAAGCCTGAGCTTGATACTATTCGAGTTTCGCTTTTCTTTCCGTGAACATTATCCGCGTAATTTCAATTACTTGTAAATGAGCCGAAAATTAAAAGAATTGGAAACTAATTAACAAATTCTTAAGTCAAACAATTGAAGAGAGTATTCTTAAAGTATCTCGAACTCATATTTTCTAATAAAATCCATATTTTCGAAAACTAATATATTTTCTTGAACACTTTGTAATATATACTTTTTAATTATTCCTTAAATCACGTAAATTTTTAAAATATGGATTTTGTAACGCATTTTTTTAATATATATGTGAAAAAGATAAAATCTTTGATTCGGTTTTAAAATATCCGCTGCAAAAGTCGCACGTAATCTTAAATAGACTAGACGATTGGCAACTAATTAAATGGTATCACCCCAAACGGTCCCAACATCCTTAAACTAACGCTTTACACTGTTTTGCAGGCTCTCTACGAGAACGCGGCGTTGTGCATCAACACGGCAGCACTCCTAATCCTGTTTCACGAAGTGAACCCCATTGCCGGCTATCTCAATATTCCCTACTTGTGCTGGAACACCTTCGCCGTGACGCTCAACTATTTTATTTATCGAGACAACAAACAGATACCTGACGATGAAGAAGTCGTAGATGATAAGATCAAGGAAGTCGCGTTTTCGTAAACAGAGGGAACGGGAAGAGACGCAGCCAGCTTTTTCTAGTTCGCGTTGAAAAAGGCGTACCTCACAAGCTTAAACTTTACACTAATGATGGGCCAACGAGTGTAACACTAAAAATGAAACAAAGAATTTAAGGACATATAACATTCACGACAATTGATGAAAAATGTCTAGTCGCCATAAAACTGATTTTTTCGAAGACATTCCCGACAGGAATAGTTTCTCGGCTAGACATTTACTGTCTATTCTCGTGAATATTATGCGCGACTTCGGATATTTCAAAAAGAGAGAAAAGGCGGACGCTTTAACGGTGATTGAAATTGCTTAGAAATTCATGGGAGACAGATAATCGAACGCCCATCATCAGTTACTTTACTTTTGTATAATTAGCGTTACTGTTGCACCATTGCAGTGCAGTTGAGAACGACGAGACAAGTGCCTTGCATTGAACGCACAACGCCGTATAGTATACACATGTTTATTGATTGATACGAAATAAAGGTTAGTTAATCCGACCATGCGTACATTATACAGTGTACAATCGTTATATCTTAGTCGTTTTGAGTTAATAAATCATACAAAAAATCTTAAGAAGTCGGTGAAGGGCCGGACAGGAAGGGGAAAAGGGCGTGCAACGGGCTTTCACTTTCTTCGCTATCTACCCTATTCCGTATGGAACTACGGAAAGCTTCTTAATTAGTCTTGGTAAGATAGTCAGCCGCTTTGTTCCGTTCTCGTTTAGCGAACATTAGACGTCATAAATTCTTCATATATTCACCAGATAGACGATTCTCATATTAATGAAACAATAATGTTATATTTTTGTAAATTTCTCGCTGATAAGATGATTTAAAAATAAATTATATCTTAAAAATAAAAAAATCGAATTCGTTATCTAGATCACATGATGTTAGCAAAGATTAGTAAAATTGTGTCTCAACGATAAAAAATTATTCAATATTTAAATTATAAAAATCTTCTGAAAACTTCAAAACTATCATTTAAAACTCTATGTATACATAGATACATGTATACATAGATACAACTCTATGTATACATGATATTTTCAATTGATATATTTCATTAATATGTTTAATATTCGATAGTTTCGTTTTATCATTTGATCTTACGTTTGAAATATAACACGTGTCGATCAAGCTGTCGATTAACATTTCACTTCACCCGTTTACTTATCACAAATATTGCCGTGCTTTTTGTAATCAATGCGATATTTTTCACCTTTTCTTTTCTTTTTTTTTTCCAAATCGCAAATATACAACTATTTCATTTTAAGCACAGAAAATATACTACGTAATGCAGTTAGAAAGAACTGACTTTACGACACGTGTACGAAAAATCAATATGCATCTCTTTGGGAGATACTTTTAGAATGTTCATCCAGAGAACGGCACAAGCATCTGTGAACGCCTATTGTACGTTGAGACGTATACACCGTGTCTCGGCTTTCAACGCCTTTTGTACAGAATAGGGCAGAATATATTACATAAAAAGAGCGATATCGAGTGCGGTAATGGTACGGGCTCGGCTGATAGTGCGGGCGGGACTCTGCCGCTGCGCTCGGCTGCCGCGTTTCACAAGCGCTACGTGGGCTCGGTCGCGTAGATGTAGCCCTGCTGCTGCAGCACATACAGCCGCTTTTCTACGGCGTCTTTGTCTGAAAATTACCAAGCTGAGTTAATAAATTGAATTAAAGGCAAATATAATTGCAAAGATTTTCATATTTCGGACTGTAGAAAAAGATAGGAAAAAAAAAATGTAATTTTACGCGTAGTATGTATATATGGCGAGTTCAAAGTCTTATCACAAAATATGCAGATGTACTTTACTAACTGTAAAGTTTAAAACTGACAAGGTTTTAATAAACATAGATTCTAAAACAATTGATTTTTTAGATACAGCCACTTCTGTGGTTATTATCTAATAACCTGATTTTATAAGTTTATTGATATCAAAAATAATTTCTGGGACTTATGTTTATTAAGATGTTTTTGTTAGTTTTGAGATGTAAAAATATGCCTGTAAACTCTGACAGGACTTCAGGCACCTATATAATCGGTCAGTAATATCTAAATGTGATAAACATGACAAAAATTACAAATTTTTAATTCAGATATATCGTACTTAAGTTTTTTTCTATTAATTAAATTATATCACGAAATTTTGAAATCTATGTTAAAAATATCTTTCTTCATTAATTTTATCTAAATCGCAAAATTATATCGGAAAAGACTGATTCAAGTAAAATTGAGTGTAATAAAAACGACATATACATTTTATGAGCAGAGCACGATCCTGGCTGTGACTGACATGCTGCGACAACGAGTGCAATAATATCTGCGCCGTATGATAGCGTTGAAAACATTCCGCAGGATTTCCAAACAGCTCATCCAATGCTGCTGACTGACACTGCAAAACAAAATCTTATTAATTATATTGTGTATATTGGTAAAATTATATTGTATGTCCGACATATAACACTAAATCTATCTTTAATTATTTTTTACTGAGTATAACATAGATATGTAGTCAAGTTTTAGAAGAAGAAACGAGAAAAAGATGCAGATGCAATAAATGTTTAGAAAAATTAAATCATACCATTTGAATCGCGTGATTGTACAATATCTTGTCTGCCGTGGCACCTGTTTGTCGAAGAAGCCCCGCACTGTTCAGCTGCTTGCATTCTGTGAGGCACGATCTGAATTTCTCGTTCATGGTACTAACAACTGTAATACATTAAATATATAAATTAAATTTAATACGAGTATCAAACATCACACACATATATATTGATGTCGAAATAAATGTCAGTACGTTAAAAAATGAACATTTAATTACAACAACTATGTAATTACTCACCCTCCTTCACGCTGGCTGTCGGTTGTAATCTCCCAGCTTTAAGCTGCTGCGTGGCGAGGTTCAGGCCTGAGCTAAGCCACTGCAAAGCTCGAACCAGCAGGATCACCTGCTCGGCTCGCCGTCTAGTGGCCGCGTTACCGGCTTGCTCGATGCTGCCGAGAGGCGCTGCCTCTTCGAAATTGCCGAGTGGCCCGGCTCTGGTCCTGGCGACTTCACACACACATTCGCACAATGCCACAACGAAGTTGAGCTTGGCCAGGATCTCGTTGTGCTCGCGCTCGAGCAGAGTTTCCTCCGGCAATTCTGGCGCGATAAACGTTAACGGGCGCTCGTCGGTTGTCGTCGGTGGTATGTCGGGGAAGAGGCTTTGGAAACTGCCAGCTTCTGTAGATGATAGATAGACTTTAATATGCGATTTCACATATTCGAAAAGAAAAGCATCGTCTAAATTAGGCAGACAACAGACGACGTAAAATGCTTGAACGTGAGACTTAGACATGGATTACCGGATATCTCGGGTAGAGTGACTGCTCTGGTGCCAAATGGGATAACGGGCGAATGCCTGAGAGTGTTGTTGTTATCTTGGAAAGCCCTCGACGTGGGCGAGCCCAGCACCGCAAGTGGTCCGGTAAGAAGCGGAGACGATGCGCTATTGTTACCTGTAGATCGACGTAGTGGTGAAGTACCGCTCGGGGTGTGCGAATGCCTCGCTACCGGACTAACCTGCCAGGTATTCGGCGGCGGTGGTGTCTCACTCAACCTGTTGCATACGTAAATTATATTTAATATTGTTCTACTTCCTCATTTTTTAATTATAATCACGATATATTCAAATACTTAAATTATTAAGATTTAAGTAATAACGAAAGCAAATAACTCCAAACACTACATCAGAGCTTTGATATTCGCAAGAAAAAAAGGACTCGTACCTTCTACCAGGTGGAGTACCGATAACAAATTGCACACTGGGCGGGCTGAGAGAGCCGATGTCCGGTGGATGACTCCTGTGAGAATCCACGCTACGTTTCATGCTGATAGGTTGAGACCGAGGCACGACGCTGCTCCCGGATCGGGCATTCGTCGAAGGTGACGACGGCTGCGGAGCCACGTTCCGATTACACGGAACAGGAATCGGCTCGGAAATGGGAAGGTAGCACGGCCGAGGTGGACTGACAGCTTCCCTGCTTGTTTGCTTGGTATAATCGCACAATTTCGACAAACATGGCCGCGGCGGGCTGACGGCGTCCCTATTCGCCTGTTTGGTATATTTGACCGATTGCGGATTGGGATTATTGTCGGCGTCGCTGCTGAGGTCACTTGGCACGAGAACAAAGTCGTCCTCGGGGCTGGAACACGGACTGCTCGTCTCGGGCTCCTCCGATCTGTCAACGATCGGCGCAGCTTCCGGCATTGCTGTCGTCCTCGGCGACGCTGACAATTCGGCAGATACCGGGCTCGGAGTCATCCTGGTGCCCTGGAGGAACGGATGATTGAAGAACTCATCGAAGCTCATACGATCAGGCGGGTTGCGCTTTAACAAGCCCATCAAAAGATGTGTCAATTCCGGCGATGTTCCAGACGGTATGTCAGGTCTGAGGTCGACGTTTTTCTCGTACATTGACTTGAGCGCATGGGGATTGCTAGCCTGGAACGGTGCTTTGCCGGTGAGACACTGATACACAATGGTACCTAAAGACCACAGATCCGCCTTCGCGTCATATTTATGCGACATAATAACTTCCGGTGCCATATACATCGGCGAGCCGCACAACGTAGCGGCCATTACACCGTCTTTTAAAAATCGAGCGAAGCCAAAATCAGCTGAAATTAAAAGATCATATTAGAATAAGTCCTAGAAGTAATAGAAAATTAAAAGCTATATCGTTTCTTTATTACTTTCGAAAAAAACTTTGTAAAAATATAGACTAGAGAGTAAAAATAAATGGCACGTAGTGTGTGCTTTTGTGTTAAATCACGATATAGTAATTTATGCGATATAGTATCTTATTATAAATTTCATGTTCTGTATAGTACATTTTTAATAATTTAATTTTATAAAAACTAGCTTTACATGTGCAATCCACAGCACAAAAACACTCACCACTATTGCCATAACATATTACAGATTAACATTATAAATTGATCTTACATATAGATAATTGATCTTACATAGAATTGATTGTACACATATGTCAAGATGAGAAACACTCTTACCTATCTTCACTGTTATTTGATGTGGCTGTGGACATGCTCTGCCGCCATTATAACTCAATAGGATGTTCTGTGGTTTGAGATCCCTGTGTACTATACCTTTCTCGTGCAGTATCTTCATTGCTTCAGCTATCTGCCTCAGAAATAGCCTAATAGTATCTTCGGAGAGACTGCCTTTTGCTAAAAAACAGAGATAAATTTATGTATGGGTGTGTATGTAAAAATACATAACATAATACATACACATTATAATTTTATTGCCACCAAATAACGGGTTAAAATGTTACACAATTATGTATACAATGATTTTGTCAAATATTAAATTTGAACTGTTGAATGTTATCACTAATTAATTCTTCATTTTTATATTTATTTCTTTTTCAAATAATTTTTTAATTATAATTCGTTTATTGAAATAGTTTTTCAATCAATTGTTCAAATCATTGTTTAAATACATCTAATTGAACTCACCAGTCAAGTAATCTGCCAAATCACCACCGTTACAATACTCCATGATTAGGAAGACATTATGAGTAGAATCCTGTGTGTAAAACAATATTAATTTCATTTTTTGTCTTATATAACACAAAGAATATTAAAAAAAAAAAATAAATAAATCTTACCTTACAATCATACAATGCAACAACATTCTTGTGATGCAGTCTGGTTAATGCCTTCAAGAAAAATTAATATTAAAAAATATTCTATTTTTACTTTACTTAGTAATTTATTATAACAAATTATACACAAAAACATGTATATAATAATATAGAGAAATATCATGTCTCAAAGATTTATAAATTATATTCTTCCACCTCTTTTTACTAATGTCATTAAACTTAAATATGACCAATGTACCAAACATACTTTAGTACATTGAAAACATATTTTGGTACGTACTTTTAGGATCTTGATCTCTTCCTTAAGCAGCTCTTGTGATTTGGCTAAATTCTTCTTTGTGATACATTTAATAGCCACCACAAAATTTGGTTTCTGTGAAATACATCATAGAATATACATAGAATATAAATTAAACTAATCTTAGAATAACAGATCTCAATAAGAACATTGCATCATCCTATGAAATAAGATATCAAAGTTTTACATTGAAAAAATTCCCAGATTATATATTCTAAAAAAGATAAGATTTTGATAAGATTTAAAAAAACAAATAGATAATTATATCTAATTCACTCAAAATAAATAAAGACATTCAGAAAGATTTGTAAAACTATTAAAAGCATTAAAACTAATTAAAACAAAATTTTAGTAAATTTAACTGTTATAAGTAATATAACATTGTAAGTATTAAAATGTTATCAATGCATACCCACTAACATGTGCGAGTTAAGTTCGCATCAATTTTTTGCATTTGGTTATACTTCTAATTATAGTTGATTATAGAATAATTTAGGTATATTTTTTCTCTAATAAAGTGCAGGATGGAATGCTTTAAGTTGTCACACTTGTAGGCTACTGCTGATGGGCTTGCACAGTAATCAGTTATAACAGGAGCCAAACTGACAGTATACACGACATCCAACATCACAACTGCAATAGATATGATTCAGGAAAAACTTAAATATATCTATTATGTCCTTATCTACATCAGATAAAAATATAATACAACGTCAATGTTTACTATATATTATCACTTTGGCTTTTGTCATAACCAATTACTACACAAGCTTGTAGACAGTGACAATTTCGTGAGTTTATAGCTTTATTAGAAAAAAAAAAACGTGTCTAAAACGTTTCATAGCCGACCTTTATCGTCTATTATTTAAATTTTAAATGATAGCTAACTAATTCTGACTCGCAAACAAAATAACGACAGTCGCAGAAATGTGCTTACTTTGCGATGTCTGCCCCTGAAAACCACGGCGAAGGCGCCGTTGCCGATCATATCCCGACCATTGTATTCGTAGTCGCCGATGATCTCCATCTCGTCTCGGTGATGGTGGTGATCTCTACCGACTTGCTGCTGCGGGCGAGGTCGACTGTTCACCAGCATAGGGATGCATCGAACAGGATCGATATGCCGACGAGATCGTCGTCGTCGTCGTCGTCGTAGCCGTGGCTTTCGTCCGCTTCAACAAGCGGATTAGTTGATCGTTAGATTCACAACTTCGATCACGCTGGCATGGTCCGGCGAAGATTTAAGAACCTGCATGTTGTCACTTGGTCTTATGCGTCGGATACTCGTCGATCGTGGCGTCAATTCGGTACCACAGAACGGATCGTGATGGGAACATCGGAGGTGGAGAGAGGGACGAGTGGTCAGAGTTGACGCGCGATATCAGCGCAAAGATGGAGGGGGTAACAGGGAAGAAGCAAGAGAGAGACAGAACGAGAGAGAAAGATGGTGGAGAAGTCCGAAAACACAAACACACCGTACGAAACGCGCGCTATGCATGTAGGTCATTGATAAAATATTAGTGAAGATGGGTAAACTTTACTGTGCACTGAAATATGTACTTGGAACACGTACTGCCTTTTGAGGCTGCGGGATGAGAGAGAGGTTTCTTGTTTCCTCTCTTATACTTGTCTGGTTCATAGGCCGGTATTCATAGTCGGTCTTAAGCCAGCGGCACACGGTGCTTGTTTTCGTGCTGTATTGCTTGCTGGATAGAAATACTCTGTTTTTATTGGCGCATTTCCATCCATCTTCAGAAATATACCAATCAAAATAGAGTATTTCCATCCAGCAAGCAATCCAAAGGCTCGATTCTCTAACTAGTTGCGTATACGTAAGTTTTACTGCGCAGTTTAATCATATCGTAAAATAGCTGCGCAGTAAAACTTACGTATACGCAACTAGTTAGAGAATTGAGCCCCAACACGGACTGCGTTCCGAAATTCGCTGCCAGTGCTGAAATTCTATAATATACGTGACATGAACTATAGATTTTCAGTACTAGCAGTGAATTTCGGAACGCAGCCGAAAACAAACACCGTATACCACTGGCTTTATATCTAAAGCCCGTATCATACTAGCGATTGGCGATTGATGATTAAAGATTGAAACTTGACTAATTGAAACAAAACAAGCCAAGGTTGAAGCTCGTTGATTCGTCAAAATCTAATCTTCAATCGTCAATCGTCAATTGCTAGTGTGATTTGGCCTTTAAGCCATTTTAAGTTTATCTTCAGATGATGTACGAATCATTTCATTGGCTACGGAGTATCTAAAAATGAACTTAAGACAGCTTAAATATAAGACTCGACTATGAATACCGGTTATAGTTTAGTCGAGTGGGACCTGATTGACCACGGTACGATTGGACACAAATTGTAATGATTGGTTCGACCTGATAATTCACTAGATAATTCACTAGATAATTCACTAGAAAATATGATACAATCCAAGTTAAAAGTTAAAGATAATATGGGTGCTTTCCAATTACGTACACTGTGTTACACAAAACCAATTTATTGGTTGCATATTATCTTACAAGATATTTTAGATAATATATGAACAATAAACTGGTTTGTATATGTGTGTGTCAAGATGTGTTAAGCAATTGGAAAGCACCCTATGAAAAGCAGTGACCACTGAATGGCAATGACTTAAGCTTATGAACGAAAATTTAAGATACAAAAAAAATATATATATTTTTTTTATTTATTAGTATTCACTTATCAACTTATTATTAAGAAAAACAAAGCAAAGATGGTTCCTAATTCGGAGATTCAGTTTATGTTTAAAAATCAGCCGACTTAGCTTTTGGTTCAGACTGTAGGTCCCGAGCCACAATAGATGTAGTAAACTTTAAGCCTTAAGAAATTGACCAATCACAGTCGATTATTCTTCTCAAACTTGACTATAATTGGTCAATTTCTTAAGGCTTAAATCTACTATACCTATTATGGATCGGGACTAATAGACAAAGACAGAATGTTATTTTAGACCTACCAAGCATGCTCTCTCTCATCCTGCAATACTCAAGAGGTAGCGCGCGTTCCAGGTAGTATATATTTTAGTGGTGTACTTATATATTTATAGTTTATGTGACATATATTATAGATGAATAAACACCGTTTGCGGAACAAACTTTTCCGATCTTACTAGATCCAACTTATTTTTACCAGCATAAAAACAAGTTAGATCTAGTAAAATTTAGAGATATACTAGAAATATACCAACTAGAATTAAGCATTTCTATGCTGCGTTCGTTTTGGCGCTTACAACGCTCTGAGCATCATTTCATCCTTTCTTCAAATACTAAACAAGTTTCTATCAAATACTAAACAAAGACAAATGATATTTACACGTGCTATAAGCGCCAAAACGAACGCAGCCCTAGTATATCACTGAATCTTATCAGATCAACGTAAAAACAAACACCGTGTGCCGTTGGTTTAAGCGCTTACTTAATTCTTTTACTGTTGAATGCACAGTCACTAGATGCACTCACTAATGGCTCCTGTACACAGGACGCGGTAATGCTTGCCGCGCGGCGGAAGTCCACGCGACAGCCAA